AGTAACTCTTGTGGGTCCCATAAACAGCAACGATGTCCCCCATGATCGGGTGCTTCCAGCTCCTGACCAGGGGCTCGCTCTCCACGGCAACATTGTCCTCGATCAACTTCTTGGAGCTGCCCGTCTTGGGCGTCCTCTGGATGGCGACCTTCCCAGTGGGCGTCTTCTGGATGACGGCCGTCTGCTTGAGCGTCTTCTGGATGACGGCCTTCTCCTTCTTCGTCATCCGGGTGGTGGCATTCTCCTTCTGGATGGTGGCCTTCTCCTTCTTGATGGTGGCCTTCTCCTTCTTCAGCTTCTGTATGACGGCCTCTCAGAGACAGCGGCGGGTCGGGGGCGAGGCGCCGCAGCTGTTACCTCCTCTTCGTCCTCCTCCTCATCCTCCTTATCCTCCTCAGTATCATCATCACCATCATCATCATCACCATCATCACCATCATCATAATCATCGTCAACATCATCATCATCAGCATTGTCATCATCCTTATCATCGCCATCATCATCATCAGCAGCATCATCATCATCATCATCATCATCATCATCTTCATAACCACCACTATACTCAGCAGTATCATCCTCCTCATCATCGCCCTCCCCACCGCTGCTATCCTATCACTGGTCTGCATCGTCGGTCGAATCTGAAACGGTCTCCGAATGAGCTGGGGTCCCACGGGCGCAACTAACCCAATCTGGAACGCCCATCGGCCAATCCAATCAGCCATTGCACGTACCAGTTCGCCACCCTACCTACGCTGTCCGAACGAACCAGCAGCGCACTTGAGCTGGGCCCACGACCGAACGAGCAGACACGGATAGCAACAACATCCCATGACCACAGTTGCTGCCCCATTCAAAGAACATGCCCCGCGCCTTCCTCGTCGGCATCTGGTCTGCCATCTTTGCCATGGCCAGTAGACGGGACGGGTCCTTGGCGCCATTCTTGGGCGGCGTGGTGTCTTGATCATGCACGTTCTTCTTCGCGGTGCTCTTGACCGTGGCGGGGGTCTTCATCGGCCACTGGCAGACGTCCTGGCGCGGTGGCGGGAGGGGGCCCCGTCTGACGGGAGGTTGCCTCATCCTCACTCTCCCACTGGCTCCTCAGCCCTCTTGCCTCCTTCGGTCATTGTCCTTCGCCTCCCTCCCTTTTTCCTAGTCAGTCCATCATCTTATGTCAACGTCCCTCTTCGTATTCATCCCCCGATTCCGCCGTCCCCCGTCATATGTCCGCCCTCTCACTCCGCAAGTCAGGCGCACATCGTCAAGCCTCCATTCGACACGGTCCAGGGCCACCGCGATTCGGACAGCCCCAGAAATATGATGCGTACGCACGTCATCATTCCGAAAGGCAGCTGCCCTGACAACTTAAAACCGAGTACGATTACACATGGTGGTGACAGGGTTGGAGATGATGACGATGCAGATGATGATGTTGATGCCCAGACTGATGATGCTGGTGATGATTACCGAGATGACGCTGATGATGTTGTTGGTGATGCTGCTGATGATGATGATGCTGATGCGAAATTCACAAGCACAACATGATGCTTAACTTCCCGTCAACGTGCACTCCGTCCACTGCGAGTGCATTGCGTTGGCCTCCCACGAATAAGAAAATGAATGAAAGTTCCTCCAGTGCAGTCAGAGCGGGTATTATGTTGATTTGAATCACAACTCGCCCCCCTCCATGTCATAGCGCTGGGGTATCTGGTTAAAAATGATGACGCTGCCCGACCGCAGTGGAGGAACTTGTTGCACCTGCGTGCACGGGCAGCGCTTCAGTCCCTGAAGCGATCAAATTTCAGCCAGAACGCCAAGTTAATCATCTCATGATCGCTGAGCTCGGGTGTCTCGGCCGTTGCTCCACCCTGCGTCAACATCGATGTTTGCTCGCGCTGCTGCTCTGGCATCTTCGGGATCGTCGGCTCGTGGTTATTCGGCGGGTTTGGCTGCTGCGTGCACGATGGCGCAGCCATGTGTTCTGGGCCCTTCGATGGCGCAGCCATGTGTTCTGGGCCCTTCGACTGGTCCTCCAGCGGCTTCGGGGTGTCGGCCGACGGCTCCTCGAGGTGCTGCGCGAGCTTCGTCTCCTGCTCTGTGTCATTCTGGCCACTACTCTCCTGTCCAGCCTCGGGACTTGGTGGCTCTGGCTGCTCCACGGGGGGCTGCGTGTCCGAGCCCATGTCGCCACGCGGAGTCTGGCCCTTGACCCAGGCCCCGAGCTCGAGGGGCTGGGGTTCTGGACTGCTGGCGGCCTCGGCTGGCTGGGTGCCAACTTTGAAGCCA